ACCTCGACGACCATTCAATAGACGATCTCACCCTAATCCCAATTGAGCGTATAGAAATTGTCTTGCCCGAAGATGAAACTACCAAATTCCGTCAATCTAGGGAGGCCCATTGGATTGAGACATTGAATACAGCAAGACCTATAGGACTAAATATTCATCATAACGTAGGCATAGCACCCTTTATTGTCCCGTTTAATACAACCAGCAATCGAGCAAGCAAGATAGTTCATGCCCACTATAAGAGCCTTCAAGAGAAATTCCCCTATGTCTATAAGCAGAAAATGATAGTTGCATATTCAAAAAATAAGAACTTAAATGATAATATTGTTCATAGTAAACTAAAAACAATCAGTACATAACAGATACTATACTATACAGTTATTTTTTCTAATTTCAGATCAGAATAAGAACAGAAGAAAACCCAATATCAAGACCCTTAATCCTAATTTCTAAATAAAGTGTCTGCTCCACCCTAGGCCTGTACATTTGGGAGAATCAAACTCTCCCTTCCCCGAAATCTAATACTGTCCGTGCCAGGCCAGATCAGACAATTTATTTTGACTTTGGTATATGTTATTTCATCTTATATATATTTTATTTTTTTTGTATATATTGTATATGTTAGGATTTTGACATTTGTTTCTCGTGCATATAACAAACTTTCTTCAAAAAAATTTGCATTAATCTTTTAATCTAACCAAGTAAATTTAATTGCCATTATTTATGTTTTTCTTCCATGTAAATTATACTCCGAGATAATCCATCCATTTAAATTACTACTCGGGTATAATCAAAATTCAAAGTTAGTTCTAATCAATTTACAATTCACTAATCCCGCTTATTTTATCAAATATTTCTCATGTTTATTTATTTTATATTTTTGTATTCTTGATTTCTGATTATTTATGTTTTTCATTTATGTAAATTGTACTCTGAGATAATCTAATCCTCCTGAATTATTACTCAGAATCAAAATAATCCAATATTTCTATAATCCTCAATTGATCAAAGATATGACTCAACTAATTAAGAAATCAAAAATAATCCTAATCCTCAACTGATCAAAGATATGACATGATTCACTCAATAATTTTTAGAAAATCAAAAACCTGTATTAACTGACTACTATATAAATCGCAAATTCAAACTCATTTCATAACCATTCCTCGACACTTGAAAAAGGATAATATTTCGAAAACCGGTTCGTGTCAATTGCGTAAGTTTTTGTTTTACTTGTTATAATTTTTCACTTCATTGTTAGCGTTATTTATCACCTAAATATATATTTTTTTGCATTTTTCATCTTGCTTTATATATCCCCAAACCCAGTTGA